AAAAAAAAAAAAAAAAAAAAAAAAAAAAAAAAAAAAATATTTCTCCCCCAACAAACCACCCCCCGGGGGGGGGGGGGGGGGGGGAGGGGGATTCTGGTTGGGATGGATCAGGAGAGAGATGAACCGGGAGAGGGGGGGCATCAGACGAGCCCCTGAAAGAGACAGGAGACCTGTGACTTGGGATTGCCACATGAGCTGCACTGGCCTCTGCCCGGATCTTGCTGGCCACTTCCCTAGAGCCTTAGCCTCGAGCGGCAGAAGCCGGCTCTGTCTGTAAGAGACTTGGTATCCGTCCTGGCTGAAAGCCCCCTGCCCGGCCCCAGGCCTTTATTACAGGGAAGGGGACCAAGTTCAGCCCTGGTTCCCAGGTTGGCGGCCAAAGTTTTACAGGTCTTTAACCAAGGAGGTGGGGAGATTCTGAAGTTTGGCCCTTGGTTCTCTGTCTGAGGCTGGTCTCTTGCCTGCCTCCTCTCTGTGCCTGCACTTTAGCTTCTGCTCAGCGGTGTCTCCTCCAAGGAGGCTGCCATGCAGATAAGGGCCGAAGGAATCCGGGGCTTCTAGTGTAACCACTTTTCTGCCTTTCCTCAGGCTGGAAAACTGGCGGCCAGCCGGAAAGATTGCAAGAGGAACCTGGAGATGCAGATGGAAAGGGCTCATCTGATGGGACAGGAGCAAGTCAAACTGCATGGGGATTCGGTGGAAGGGCAGAGCGTGTGGTCAGGGTTCCAAGACACCTGGCTGCAGGTAAGGCAGCTGCTCTGGGAGAGGCAGCCTTTCAAATCCTCCTCTCTCTACTCCGAAAAGCACCAGAGAAAAACCCTTTGGTTGCCCAATGCAGGGGAAATCCCTTCTTCCCGCGTGACCGGAAAGCAGAGCCCATCCTTCCAGCTGAAAGGCTGCCTTGCGGACCAGGCCAGCCAGCACACGGCCAGGGCCCACTGGGGGAGGCTGTCCGGCTTCTCTGCCTTGAATGTGCAGCTCTAAAGGCCATTCACACGTAGCTTTGGAAGCCAGGCTGGCTGTGAGAAAGCAGGGAGAGAGAGAATGGTTGGTTCCCTGCCCCCATGTTGTTCTTCTTGCCTTACTCGGAGGAGAGCCGTGAGCCAGATCAGGAAAGCCGCTTTGGGCAAGGGATGTGGAGCTGGCTTTTCTGCCCAACTGGCCTGGCCTTTCCCCAGACTGGGCCACGGGACTCTCTGGCGGGAGGGGGCAGCTCTTTGCCCCAGGTACCCCAGAAGAAGCGTTAACGGGAGACCCTGGGTAGGCAGGTGCCCACTGGGGATGCCCGCCTCCCCCTTTTCAGGGCAGCAGCAGCAGCAGCTGGCAAGGATAGGGCCTTTCCTAGAGCCACCCTTGTTTGGATGAGAGAGGAAGGCTGCTGGCTTGGGGCCACCGCTTGTGCTCTCCAGTTGCACGTGAACTTGGGCGTTCCTTTGGAGCAGAGGCCTCCCTCCGCCATTTCCCCTTCCTTCCGCTACTTTAAATCCTGGGACATATTGAGGTTCAATAATTTGTTCTTTCAATGTTGGCCCTGCCCCCAACTCTGACACTTCTGTGGCTCTTTCTGAGTCCCCGGCCACATTGGTTAGCAATTCCCCCCCACTGCAGCCTCTCCCCAGAAATGAGGCCCATTTTTGGCCAAAGAAATGAGCCAGGTTTGCCTGGTTTTGGCCTGCAGAATGCTTCTGGAGGTGGGAGTGGGGTGAAAAACGGGCCTCCCCTGCCTCCAGAAGATAGATAGAGAGGGAGAGGGAGGGAGGGAGGGAGGGAGGGAGAGACAGAGACTTCTCGAGCTCCTTGGGTCTGAGAAGAATTGCTTCAAAGCTAAGTTTCCTGAAATAGACCACTAGACTCCTAAATAACTGATCTAGGGAAAAGAAAAGTCAACCAAAAGGAGCAACATGCCAACAAAAGCAAATAAAACACCCC